AAGAGCAGTCAGTGCTCTTAACCATTGAGCCATCTCTCCAGCCCTGAAAATATTTTAACTTTTAGCTTGAGGGACTGGAGAGATGGCTCAGTGGTTAAAAGCACTGGCTGCTCTTGCAAAGGACCTGGTTTGGTTCTCAGCATCCACTTGGTGGCTAACAACCGTCCCTAACCCCAGTTCCAGGGGATCTGACACCCTCTTCTGACCTCCAAAGGCAGTGCATGACATCGCTGCACTTATATATATGCAGGCAATACACTCATACACATAAATTCATAAAAAATTAAAGAAAAACTTTTAGCTTGAAAAGTTTCACGTGTGAAAATAAGTCCTTGTATGCTTCTTTGTTGCTCAGTGTCAGTAGACCCTGAGTAGTTTGGTAAAACCCAGTCTTTGTGATCTGGCTGCTGAAGGCAGAGGGGCCTTGAGACAGGAGACAGGCAGAACCAGCATTGCACTAAATGCAATTTATTGCAGGCTTCTGGACAGGAGCATGTCTTGGATGACAACAGGACAGGTAGGTCACAGCTAACTAGAATGTTCCAGAGAAACTCAGTGTGGCAGCATCACTTAAACAGTTCAGGTACCAGTGGCTGGCACACTGTGTTTGTCTTGTCTTAGAGTTTTTTAGGACTTGGGTTGTGTGCCAAGGTCACCTGGTAAGTGGTGGTCATGGGCAAAGTGATGGTCCCAACTACGAGGTTAGGGTCCTGTCATCCTGGAGTTCATACCAGCCTCTTGGCACCCTTATTTCTTTAGTAGGAATTTTCATCTTATTCAGTAAAATAAAAGAGCTTTTGTGCTGCCTCTGTCATTTACAAACCCTGACAGGAGCTTTGTGGGCTGGAAAGCAGCTGCACCCTTATTTTATAGATGAGAGCGGAGGCTAAGGGAGTGAATAGTAGCTTGCCCAGGGACGCTCACTTTTTGTTTCAGTAGGATGCCTCCTTTATTTCAGAGAGGACCGGAGAGTTGTCTAACAGGAATTGTAAGAAAGGAGGAGCCTTTCTGTTTATATAACACTTCTTTTGTTTTCTTCCTATGGAAAGCATATATTGCTTTGCCTGCTCAGTGGCCTTCCAGGTAGTTCATTAATTTGTTTGCGGCAGGTATGTCCATTTTCACCCAAGGTGACAAATGCTGAAGTCATTTTGAGGCTGGCACTTTAGGTTTCAACTTTGATTTCAACTTCTGTCACTTTCCTTTTTAGCTATCTATCAATGTCTATGATTATAATTGCCACGTGGACCTGATCCGCCTGCTGCGGCTGGAAGGGGAGCTCACCAAAGTGCGGGTGGCCCGCCAGAAGATGAGTGAGATCTTTCCCCTGACTGAAGGTATGGCTTCCGCTCTGGGATGCTTTTAGTTTGGAGAGTTGACTGGTGCGCTTTTCTTTTTTTTTTTTCCAGTGCTGCTTAGAGAGAGATCGGAACATATCACAAGGTGTAAAGAGGAAAGCTGTCATTCACAGCCAGCTCCTTTAGGTTGCTGTCTTGTAGTTTTTTGCAGAGCATAGTGTGATGATCCAACTTGACATTTCGAATCCTGATTTCTTTACCCTAACCTATGACAACATCTTCTTTTACATGTTTTTGTGTTTCTGTGGTCTTTTTCCCATTCCAGCATGTATGCATTTAACCCATTCTCATGAACCACAAAATTGTAAACATAATTCGACTGTTACAGTTTGTGATGCAAATGGGTCATACATTAATCTTTGCGTAGTGGTTTTGCATTTAGTTTATTTCTGCATGTTTGGTTATTAGAAACAATCTCACCAAGCAACTTTGTGATCTGATCTTCATGAATATTTATAAGTGATCTTTTCTGTTGGGAAAACCCTGGTATTGGACCCAGTTCTGTCCCTGTCTCCCTTCTACGAGGGGTGGCTATTGAGTGGAGATGCTGAAATCACATTGCACAGGTGCATTCCTGACTGGACCTGTTACTACTCTGAGGCCTTAAGCAAATCATGGAACCAGTTTAAGACTCAGTTTTTGCAGTACAGGAGGATTGAGGATAACGGTAGTTTTTGTCTTGTGGTACATGACTGACTAGGATAAGCATTTCTGTACAAGGCATTGCACACGCCTGGCTGCCCATAAGTCCTTGGATGGGTCCATTATCATTACCTCACAAGATTGTAGGAGAAAAAATAAAGTGCTTTGAAAAGTAGAAAGTGCCCAAGAAACTCGGGCCATTACATGTTTTATTATATTTGGAAGCATAAAATCTGTATGCTTGGTTCAGGTTTTAGGAATTGGATTTCTGGGGCTGGAGAGATGACTCAGTGGTAAGAGCACTGACTGCTCTTACAGAGGACCCGGGTTCAGTTCTCAGCACCCACATGACAGCTAACACCTCTCTGTAACTCCAGTTCCAGGGGATCCTACGCCTTCTTCTGACCTCTGTGGGCATTGAATGACACAGGTGCACTTACATACATGCAGTCAGTATACCTATGCACATAAAATAAAAATAAATTAAAAAGAATTGAATTTCTTGTGAACTGGACAGGTTGTGGAAGTACAGTGGTGGAATGTCTGTGCTGTGCTGTCTCTCTCTAGTGCCTGCTCTCAGCTGCCCCCTGCTGAGGCCCCTGGTAATGAGCTGATGCTGTTTTCTAGAACTGTGGCTGGAGTGGCTGCATGATGAGATCAGCATGGCCATGGATGGCCTGGACCGAGAGCACGTGTACGACCTCTTCGAGAGAGCCGTGAAGGACTACATCTGTGAGTCCCTGCCCGGGTAGGGGACTACCAGAGCTGGTCTCTACTGTCCTGGATGTGCAGTGAGATGTTGGCTAGGAAGGAGAGCATTGGTCTAACACTTAGAATTGAGTTTCCTTTGTGATTGTCTTAATGTTCAATAGAGAATGTCTGATTTTAAAATAAAAGCAGAAGAAATATTTGTAGTAAGAGAGTAAATATCTCACACTCAGCTTCTATCTGGCAGGGAGAACTTACATGGCATTTTCAGGCAGTTAAGGCTAGCCTTTTCTTGGGCCTGATGTGGTGGCACATCCCTGTTATCCCAGCACTCAGGAGGCAGAGGCAGGAAGATATATAAGTTCCAGGCCAACCTGGGCTACTTAGTGAGACCCTTTTTAGATTATGTCTCATAGAATTTTGAATAAGGGCCTGAGGAACTTTTAAGTGTTACTTTCAGGAGCTTTAGTGCATGGAAGTTATGCCGCTGGTTTTAAATGTTCAGGAAGTACTTTGGCCTGCTTCTTAGTTTTCAGCTGTTTCAGACATTTGAAGATGCCTGGTATAGATCTCATTCCTCAGCATGTATTGGTAATTTTTTTAGGCTGGCTAAGAAATCTGGGGTGTTCACAGTATATGGCCTTGGCTCTTTGGCTGTTTGTATGGTACGTGGTATGTGGTGATGGTGGGGTGTGTGTGTGTGTGTGTGTGTGTGTGTGTGGTGTGTGGTGTGTGTGATGTATGTCTTTGTGTGGTGTGTCTTATGTGTGTATATATGATCTGTATGGTGTGTGTGTGTATGTACATGGGTGTGTGGATGCAGATGTCTATGTAGATGAATGTGGAGGCCAGAGCAGGGAGCCTGAGTGACTTCTTCTGTCACTCTTTGCCTTATTGCCTTGAGACGGAATCTCTCAGGGAATCAGAAGCAGCTGGGGTTGGCTGGCTCCAGAGCTCTCAGGATCTGCCTGTCTCCACCCTCAATGACAGGGTTACGGCACACATAGCCATTCCTGGCTTTTTCATGTAGGTGCTTGGAATTTGCACTCAGGCCCTCATGCCCACTGAGCCATCTCTCTAGCCCCTTTTGACTTTGTTTTTTTAATTTTTTTTTTTTTTTTTTTTTTTTTTTTTTTTTTTTTTTTTTTTTGAACGGGTTTCTCTTTCACCC